AAAAAAAAAAAAGAAAGAAAGAAAATGATAAAAGAACCTACTGCCTCTCTTCTTATTTAATTAATTATTTTTTTGAGACAGAGTCTCAAGCTATTGCCCTGAGTAGAGTCTCATGGCATCACAGCTCACAGCAACCTCAAACTCTTGGGCTTAAGCAATTTTCTTGCCTCAGAGTCCCAAGTAACTGGACTATAGGCACCAGCCACAACGCCCCGCTATTGGTTTTTTTGTTGCACTTGTCACTGTTGTTTTAGCTGGCCCGGGCAGGGTTTGAACCCATTGAACCTGCCAGCCTCAGTGTATGTGGCCTGCACCATAACCACTGAGCTACAGGTGCCACACCATTTATTTTTTTATAGAGACAGTGTCTCGCTCTTGCTCAGGCTGGTCTCAAACTCCTGAGCTCAAGCAATCCACCCATGTCAGCCTCCCAGAGTGCTAGGATTATAGGTGAGCCACCTCACCCCACCCATACTGGGGTTACTTATCTCTGCTTCTGTTCATGTGAGTACCCTCACCTAGAGTAAAAAACAGAGTTGACATTTACCAAGGCCTTATGACAGACCAGTCACTATGATAAGATCTTTCCCTCAACTACTTGATTAAATCTCTATGATAATCATGAGGCAGATATTATCTTCCATCTTACTGAGGTAGAAACAAAGGCTCAGGTGGTTAAGTAATTTGCCCAAGGTCAAATACTGATAAGTGGCAGACCCAGGGTATGAATACGGGACTCTGACTTGAGAACCTGTTCTCAACACTGTGCCATATGTCTTTCCACCCATCCGGGTGTAGTGGCTCACACCTATCATCCCAGCACTTTGGAAGGCCAATGCAGGTGAATTGCTTGAGCTCAGGAATTCAAGACCAGCCTGAGCAAGAGTGAGACTGTGTCTCTACTAAAAATAGAAAAACTAGCTAGGTGTCATGGCAGATGCCTGTAGTCCCAGCTACTCAGGAGGCTGAAGCCAGAGGATCACTGGAGCCCAAGAATGTGAGGTTGCTGTGAGTTATGATGATGCTACAGCACTCTGTGCAGGGTGACAGAGTGAGACTCTGTCTGGAAAAAAAAGAAAAAGAATACTATCTCTCTTGGGAGTTCCAGGCACTATGTAATTCCTCTTTTGGTAGACTGGCATCATAGGCTCTCCCTCTCACTTATCTCCTTCAAAGCAGCATCCTCTGTCCTCAGGATTCCCCAGTGACTACTACAGCTCTTGGACGGCAGTGCTCAGTGAAGAGACTGACTTTCTCCTTCCACTCAGACTGCTTGCTGAGTCAAGTACCTCATCACAGATGACCAGACCAACACTTCCTTTCTGGAGGACTCCAACATGAAGGCGGAAGGTCTCATAGGAAATGATGAGGATAGGAGAAGGCACTCTGGCTCCATGCTGGCTCATGAAGCCTTCTACAACAGAAAAGGTGTCAAGAGAACAAATCAGAATATCTTTAAATAAAACAAAAGCAGTTTCACAGTTCTTTTATTTAGCCTGGAAATAACCAGCTATTTCAACTATTTTCAATGGGAATTCTCTTCCACCCGTGAATTGCCCTCAACCCTGGCCACAGGTGAGCAACACACACAAGAAAGGAAGCAGCTGGTCGGGTGGAAGAGTGCAACCGTCTTTGTTAAGGCTCCATACCCAGCTTTCGGTCTATCTCATCCTTAGATCCCCCATCGATGGCCAGAGGTTGGATTCTTCCACCAAGCCATTTTCCAACCTCATTGTACCAGTTCTTCACCAGGCTGGAGGGAGACACCACCACCGCCTTGTCTATTTCTGGCTTGCACTCTGGACTCTGGCGCAAGAGTGTCCACATCAACGTGATGCACTGCAGTGTCTTTCCCAGGCCCATCTCATCAGCCATGATGCAGCCATGGCTGCCAGGGATGCGCCGACTGGTGACACACTCCCACAGGAACTTCACTCCCTGGGGAATAACAACATTCAGTCCAGTCACCTTGGCAATTGGTGCTGCCCCAAGATGACAGTCTTTGAGGCTCAGCCCCTAGCCACATACCTTATTCCCTTCACCCTCATTTACCTCTCTCTGATGAGGCCGCAAAACCTTACTCAGAATAGGATCAACAACCACATGGACAGGGAGATTTTCCCTGAGAAAACACAGAATAAAAAACAAACAAACATGGCACTCAGCTATGGGTAAGTCCAGGCCCTCAAGAGGTTAGGTCCTGCTGATCCAGAGGCAACAGAGGCAGCTGCGCAAGAGAGGACCTTCTTGGCTAATAACTAAATGATAAAACCATTACAAATTCTTGCTCCAGGAGTTAAAAACTTAGGAGCGAGATAAGTTCCCTGTGTCATTGCCTCAATCATGCCTCCTCCTGGCAGGAGGCATGAGGAACCTTCCTAACTGGACATGACCATGTGTTCTTCCTAACTTCCTACACTTGGATGGTGCAGGAGTCATGACAGCTCTCTGAAATCATATGCCAATCCCCAAGAGAAATCACACTAAACTATTCCCCTTCCCTCCCAGGAATGTGCACTTACAGAGGACAAGAATTGCTCAAGAGATACCACATACTTGTCAAGCTTTAGCTGGTCATGGGCACTCAGCAGGGGAGGCTCATACAGAACCAAGGCACCTTCCTCCAGGGGGTCATGGAGGGCCCGGCGGACCCCAGCTCTTTTCAGGCCCAGTGCTCGAAAGCCCAGAGGACCTACGAACCAATAATTCTTCTGTCACCTAAGTCTCTAAGTTCAGAAGCTCCAGCAAGCCCAGCCCAATTGCCTGTCCTTCATATAACCTTTCCTGAGATCCCATATGACACTCTCTCCCCGAGAACTCCTCCAAACCTTATTTGATCACCTCTATCTGACCATTATCTCTTTCTGCTTTAGATCACAGGTTTTCTATTTTATTTCACCCATTCAACTATAAACTTCTAGATGACCAAGTCTTGTTCATCTCAAGTCAATCCCAGAAAGGTATAAAACCCTAAGGGGGCCTTTTCAAGTCTGAGAGCTCTTGAAAGCTGTCCTGCTCCCTCCCCAGCCCTGTTTCAGCATAATCCTGTGCACTACCAAGGACAGGAAAAAACTCTATAGAATCAAGGATTTCTCTATAGAATCAGGGATTTCGGCTCTCTGAAATCATATGCCAAAACTCTACTATCCCACACAGTCTGCCTCATACAGGAGATGCTACTGAACACACTTGGACTAAACCAAGCCTGGGTCCAGCAGCCACTTTAGCCCACCAGGAGCTTCCTAACCACTGGCACACCTCCACCAAGAAGATGAGGAACAGTAGGTCTTGGCAGCCCTTACTGAGCCCAACACAGCTTTCATGCAGGCCTCAGAAGAATCACCTTGAACATAGTCACCACTGCACTAGCATATTCCATTTTTAGGTAAGCTCATATTTACAAAAGCAGGAGTTTTTAACTTATTCAGGCACATTTACACATGACAAATTAGAAAAATAGACAAGTCTCTATTTTACCTTGATAATTTGGAATAGGCACTTTAAAAGGCTTTGATAAAATGCTTCGAATAAACGCTTCCTAAAAAGAAAGGAGAAACAGGGATTCAGGATGATTGGAGATGTTATGGGACAATACTGTCATTATATGCTCCACATTAGGTTTTACACATCAGCTTCCATCTTTCAGGCATATGTAAGGTTCTACAAATACTTACGGATGACAGAAGCACTTAGCTTCACTCAACCATAAGGCTCAGGAAAGGCCAGGCATGGTGGCTCACATCTGTAATCCCAGCACTTGGGAGGCCAAGACGGGTGGATTATCTGAGCACACAGGTTTGAGACCAGCCTGAGTCAGAGCAAGACCTCATCTCTAAAAATAGTCAGGCGACTTGGTGCCTATAGCTCAGTGGCTAGGGTGCTGGTCACATGTACTGGGACTGGCAGGTTCGAACCTAGCCTAGGCCTGCTAAACAACAATGACAACTACAACAAGAAATAGCCGGGCATTGTGACAGGCACCTGTAGTCCCAGCTACTTGGGAGGCTGAGGCAACAGAACTGCTCAAGCACAAGAGTTAGAGGCTGCTGTGAGCTGTGACGCCACTCTACCGAGGGCAACATAATGAGACTCTATCTCAAAAAATAAAAAAATAGGCTCGACACCCCTAGCACAGTGGTTATGGCGCCAGCCACATACACCAAGAGTGGCAGGTTCAAACCTGGCCCGGGCCAGCTAAACAACTGCAACCAAAATATAGCCAGGCATTGTGGTGGGTACCTATAGTCTCAGCTACTCAGGAGGCTAAAGCAAGAGAATTGCCTAAGCCCAGGAGTTGGAGGTTCCTGTGAGCTGTGACACCACAGTACTCTACCGAGGGTGATAAAATGAGACTCTGTCTCTAAAAAAAAAAATAAAATAAAATACATAAGGCTCAGGGAAGATCATGCCAATTAGGACACCTGACTCTTCTCTAAGGTATAGCACCTTAGAATGCAGTATCAGTAAAATAATAATAATTTTATTATTACTAACAACAGCACAAAAGTGGTCACAATAATGATGGCCAACAATGTAAGCCTCTTGCTTTCATGTTACCATTTAATCCTAACAGCGGCTCAGTGCCTATAGCTCAACCGGCTAAGGCGCCAGCCACATACACCTAAGGTGGCGGGTTCAAATCCCCAGCCCGGACCTGCCAAACAACAATGACGGCTGCAACCAAAAAATAGCCGGGCGTTGTGGCGGGCGCCTGTGGTTCCAGCTACTTGGGAGGCAGAGGCAGGAGACTCGCTTGAGCCCAGGAGTTGGAGGTTGCTGTGAGCTGTAATGCCATGGCACTCTACCCAGGAGGACAGCTTGAGGCTCTGTCTCAAAAAAAAAAAAAAATCCTAACAGCCATATGAGGTCTGTGTATTATTGGCATTCCCATTTTACAGATGAGCAAGCTTAGGTTCAGAGTGATTAAGTCACTTTATCAAGTCACAGCCACTGCACATAGAATTTTCACTTTCACATTCCACTTTCCTGATTCTAGGGCCCTTACTTATAACCCCTCAGCAATGTGGCCTCTTACCCAACCTGTCTACACAAATCCATGCAGTCTGTAGCCATATCACCCTGAACACATCCAATCTCGTCTGAGTATAGCCACACAGATGAGCCCAGAGCCAGCAGCTTCCTGCCATGTAGAGCACAGGAGAGGGAAAAACAAGAGGGAGCAGGCAAGCCCATCACCAAGAAAAAGCAAGTGGAAGAAAGGAAACAAGAAGCAAAGACATGTGGGTCTAGAGAAGAGGCAGTTCTTCCACATAAGGGCCTGCAGCCTAGAATCAGCATTATTCTATTGGCACTGAGGCCAGGGTAGGGGCAGAGGAGTAGGCAGGGGAGTTAATGCTGAACTAACTGACAGCTCCCATGAAAGTTCTGGTCCACAGACAAAAGAGCTCTTCGCGGAATTACAATAGCCTGTGGATCTCAACAAAACCAGAGCTGGAATTTCAGAGAACAAGGAGAAACCATGAGTAGAGACTCTAAAGGTGGTTTTAACAGAATACATTAGAGAAATAAGCAATAATAAAAAAAAAACTACTAGCAAAAAAGATAGTTTTATAGAAAAAAAATTTATTTTTTTGTTTCTTTGTTTTTTAGAGATAAGGTCTTGCTCTTGCTCAGGCTGGTCTTAAACTCCTAACCTCAAAGGACCCTCCCACCTCGGCCTCCCAGAGTGCTTGGATTACAAGCATGAACCACACGTCACATGGCCATTTTACCTTGTATTCTGACCCATTTCTTTACACATAAAGATCATAAATTTCTAAAAGTTCAATGTACTTTTTCTTTTTTTTTTTTGAGACAGGGTCTTGCTCTATCACCCAGGCTAGAAAGCAGTGGCATCATCACAGTTCACTCTGCAACCTTGAACTCCTAGGATCAAAAGAGCTCCCTGCTTCAGCTTTCCAGGGGAACAGAGACTACATGCACGTGCCACCACGTCAGGCTAATTTTTCTATTTTTTTGTTCAGCCTGTCTCAAACTCCTTGCCTCAAGCAATCCTCCCACCCTGGCCTCTCAGAGCATTAGGATTACAGGCATGAGTCACCACACCCCAGGCAAGAAAGTCAATGTACTTTAAATAGGAAAAACATAACAAATATTTGTTACAATATATTGGAAGACAAAAAAGGAATGTGAAGAGATGAACTTCATTATCACACTAAGCAACATGACAAGGTTGCTGAAGAGCCAAATCCTTTGATTATTTGCACATTTGTTGTACCTGAATAAAATCTACTGACAATCTTTTTTTTTTTTTTTT